TATTACTACTATCTCCTCCATCACCTCCATCACCACCAACACCTCCATCACTATCACCACCATCATCACCTCCATTGCCATCAACACCACCACCAGCAGCACTGCTACTGCTGCAACTTTATTTTTTTTTTTGGAGACAACCTGACTATGTGACCCTCTGTAGAGTGTGATGAAGTTACAAAGTTATAGCTCACAGCAACCTCCAACTCTTTGGCTTAAGCAATTCTTTTGCCTCAGCCTTCTTTTTTTTGAGACAGAGTCTTATTATGTTGCCCTCAGTAGAGTGCCATGGTGTCACAGCTCAGTAACCTCAAACTCTTGGATTTAAGTGATCCTCTTGCCTCAACCTCCCAAGTAGCTGGGACTACAGGTGCCTGCCACAACGTCCAGCTATTTTTGGTTGCAGTTTTCGTTGTTGTTTTGGCAGGCCCAGGCTGGATTCGGACCTGCCAGTTTCGGAGCATATGGCTAGTGCCCTAGCCTCTTTGAGCTACAGGTGCCAAGCCAGCTGCAACTTCTTGAGTGCCCACATGTCAGGGACCTGCCAGGGGCCCACACGTACCATCTCACTTGATGGGATTATTCCACTTTATAGATGAGGAACCAAACTGCACAGAGGAGAAGGCTAGGGGAAGACACCTAGGCTCACACCACTAAGTTAGGACAGAGCTGGGCTTCTACCTTGAGACCGTGGACCTCCAGACAGGTGTCCTTCCACCTGGCTGCAGCTTTGCAGGTGGAACACTACTGATCAGGAGGGAGAAGAGCAGACACTAATGGCCACTTTGGGGCCAGCACCCCTAGCATGTGGGTCTCTAGACTTCTTTCAACAGCATAAAAATTTTCCTAGAGGGTCTCGTCCCTCACCCAGCATCCCTGAGAGGCAAAGACCTTGAGCAGGAATGGGAGCCATCATCGTCCTCAGGTGAGAAAGGACAAAGAGGTCCAGACAGACGAAGTGGCCTCCAGGCACCCTTCCTAGAGGTCGGGGCCGAGCCACCTCCCTGGGCCCCTCAGAGGAGTGGGCAGCACATGGTCTGGGGCAGACATCCTCAAACTACGGCCCGTGGATCACATGCAGCCTGCCTAGGATATTTATCGGGCCCGCCAGGTGTTTTTGCTGCCACTGTCTGTCCTGTTTAGCAGCCAACTCGTCTCGGAGCCCGCAGTCCGACCCTCCAACGGTCTGAGGGACAGTGAACTGGCCCCCTGTTTAAAAAGTTTGAGGACCCCTGGTCTGGGGAGTCAAAATAGTGATTCTGGTTCTCTGCCCTTGCAAACCACCTGGATAACGTGTGCCCCTCCCAGGGTTGTAGCACGGGCTGAATGGGACCCAGGGGCTTTAGAAACTAGAGACCCCCCAGTGTAAACCCTAGTTGGGCCCCTCATCCTTTCCAGTTCTGACTGGCCAAGGACCTCCCCTGGGTGACTCCAGCTCTGTAGGGTCATGGACTGGGTTGGGTGCTGAAGCCACACATCCCCTCTCCCCAAGTGTCCAGCCAGGCCTGCTGGGTGTGGGGGGAGCCAGGCTGCAGCCACAGCCAGGGGGAAGCTTCCACAGAACTCAGAGCCCAAGGTGGATTTTGCTGGTCCCTGGACTCACCCAGGCTATCTCAGGGGTCCCTAATGTAAGGACAGAGGTCCCACTGATGAGCTGATGTTGGCTGTGGAACCTTCCTCCCAGGCACACACAGTGGCATTGGCAATTCATCCTTGAGGGCAGGGGTGTCGCCCCATTTTACAGAGGGTAGACTGAGCCTGGGAGCTCATGCTGAGGCTGGTTCCCGCGGAGGTTTCAGGAACTCACCGACCACCATGATGTTGAACTCGAAGCCCTGCTTCATGGCCTTCCTGCGCATCTGCTCCAGGATGGAGTCGATCCCCACGTAGCCGAAGTCCACAGGGGCCTTCTCGTTCCGGGGTGCGGGCATCTGCTTGAGCCCAGCGTCTCTGGAGGTGTCGGCCATGTCGCCAATGCAGCTGGAAGCTGCCTCAGTGGCTGCAAAAGGACGAGCAGAGGAGTCAGGAGGCGACAGGGGCGCTCTGTGGGCATCTGCCAAGAATGCAGGTGGTTGGTGGCTCCACCACACTCGCTCAGCCTTGCTTTTTCATTTACACCCTGCCAACCTGCCCCCACCCTGGCTCCAGGGCTCCTGAAAACTCCTCTTTCTTTGCCTGGAGAGTGAATGCTGCTTGTCCCTCATCCACACTGCCCCAGCCACCAGGTGCATGGATCACTCCATCGCCTTCACCTGGCTCAGGTAAGCAATACCTGCCACAGCCCAAAGGCCTTATAGGCTGCCGGGACAGAAGGGAGGGACAGTCTCCTGTGTGCCTTCTGATGAAAGGGGGAAGGACTCACACCTGTCCTCCTACCAGGTCCCAGTCAAGCTGTGTGTTCAATTCTATGTCCTGACAACACCGCTGGGTGAAGTGGGATGCCTGGGCACGGAGCTGTCCTGGGGACATGATGGGCAAGGGAGCACCAGCACTGCCTCTGCCCTCCTCCCTGGACTGGCCACCTGCCACCTGACTGCCCCACCCCCACCAGTAAGGACCAGGTTTTGCTTTCAGGTCTGCAGGCAGGCAGATGGGGCTGAACTTCTCGAAATAACTCAAGCTTCTTCAACGTATAGGAAGGCAAGAACCTTCCTCCTTCCCACAACCCCACCCCTGGCTTCCCTTTTAAGTCCATCTGCTGGTCAGAGGCCCAGGCCTGGAACAGAACCCCCAGGAAGTGCCTTCTGGAGACCCAAGGCTCTCTGCCCCAGCACACCCCAGACATTCCACACGCACACACGTGAAGGTCCAGACACACTGTCCACAGAGGCGACGCCACCTCTAACCTCTGTGGGCTGGAGCTGCCTGGCCAGCCCTCAGCTACCCACGGCAGGGCGGCCCAGCTGCTCCTCTGTCCCCACCCTGCCCCATGGGCCCAGCCTCTTCACGCAGCCCTGGCTGCCAAGAGGGACTTCGTAGCTCATCCTGCCTCCCAGGAGGGTCCACATAGTGCTCAGATACCTCCTTTCGTCCAGGGCTCTCCCCCTACACCTAGGAAGGTTCTCATCCCACAGGGCACCCACCAGGAGCATGCACATGGGAAAGGAGCCCCTGTCAGCCAGGGACTACGGACCAGGAATGGAGGCCTGAAGGTGGAGGGTGGAGCGCAGACTTCCAAGCATGTCTGGCCTGGCCACCCACCCTGCCCGGGTGGCCAGAGGGCCCAGCAGAGGCTTCAGTTTGGCTGCCCTCTACCTCCTGGGGAAACGCTGACCGACCCAGGAAGGTCTGGTGAGCCACTTCCAGTCCCTCTTTATTCTGTCCCACCAAGCAGTCAGGAAGGGGAGCAGTACGTTCCTGCCCCCTGTCCCCAGGCCAAGGCAGGCAGAGGTGAGAGAGGAGCAGGCTGTCTTTGAATCACAGTAGTGAGAGTCCTGGATTCCTGGACCAGTCACTTCACCTCCCTGTCCTCTCAGCCTCTACAGGGCAAAATGATTCCTACTTCATGGAGCTGGAGTCACAGTGAAACAATAACATACATAAAAAGTGCCAGGAATTGCCAAGGGGGTCCACAAATCTTCATTCTGTGGGGCCAGGGGCCCAGGCCCCAGCTGCCAACCCCACCCCCAGGCCCTGGAAGGCTCCCTCCTCAGAAACACTCTCCCCTGGGCTTCCAGCATCTTTAAATAAACAAAGACACAGCGCTGCATCTGGCTGCATCTGGCCTACAGCGTGTGGCTTTGGGGCCGCTTCCTGGAGCCAGCCTGGCCCACGTGACCGAAAATTGCTTCCATCTGTCCGTGGGGCTGGGAGTCTTTCTGCCGGGGCCCAGACTGGCCCCCTCCTGCCTTTCCCTCCAGCCTCCTAGGCAGAAAAGCGCTGCCCCTGAACTCTGCCTCACCCCCCAAGCAGGCCCTGCAGCCCAGGGAGAGGGACGGTCCCTCGGCTCCACGGGGCCCCTCCACAGGCACCAACAGTCCCTGCAGAAACTCAAACCAAACCAAACATCCTGCCCACCAAGGGCCTGCTTGAGAAATAATAATAAAAACACAGGCGAGAGCCATCTTGCCGCCTGTGGACTCAGGAAAGGGCCTCTGCACAGGTGACAGCCACTCTGCAACCCCTCCTTGGAAAGGTATGGACAGCCTGCCTCTCTCTGGCATCTACCTTCAGGACCCCCATGTGGGAAAAGCAGAGACCCCCCCACACCCACAGACATAAACTGAACCCTCACTTTCCATGGAAGGCCCCTCTGGGGTCTGGCCCCAGAACCCCAGGGTGCTTAGGCAGCTGGGAGGGACGGTAAGGACCCCACCCCACCCTCTGTGATGATGGAAATGCCCCCGGCCTGCCCTACCCATTGTGGTAGCCACGGGCCACCCACCGCTTTTCCTCTAATTGTCGTAAGATTTACCATCTTAACTATTTTTAAGTGTGCAGCTCAGTAGTTTTAAGTATATTCATACTGGCATGCAGCCTATCTCCAGAACTTTTTCATCTCACAAAACTGAATTTGTCCCCATTAATCCCCTTCTGCTCCCCCAGCCTCAGAAACCACAGCTCTACTCTCTGTAAATTTGACTATTCTGGGGACCTCGGGTAAGTGGCTCACACGGGACCTGCTGATCTCACTTGGCACAGCATCCTTCAGTGTCATCCCCCCCAGCAGGTGTCAGAATGTCCTTTTTCGAGGCCGAATAGTATTCCTCACTTGGATGGGCACACTGTATTGATCTTTCATTTGCCCATGGACATCTAGGCTGCTCCTACCTGTTGGCTGTTGTAAATAATCCTCCTGTAAATGTGGGTGAATAAATCCCTCTGGGAAAACCTGCTTTCAATTCTTCTAACTTTATACCCAGAATTGGAACTGCAGATCATATGGTAGTTCTATTTTTAATTTTTTGATAAACGGCCACACTATGTTCACATGTGACTTTTAAGCACTTGAAACTGAGTAGTATAGGAATTGAAATGAATTCTTACTTGATTTTAATTAAATTTAAACAGCTACACGTAGCTAATGGCAACTATATCGGACAGCAGAGAATTCTAGTCCAACCTACTCTTACAAACCGAGAAACTGAGGTCCATAGGGTGATTTTTCTTTTTTCTTAAGTGCCACTGGAAGTGGCTCGGCCAACCCTGACCTTCACTGAATTTATCAACCCTGAAACTTCACACTCACTTCTGTGACACGTGATTAACATCCGTGTTCAGACACAGACGATGCGCAAGGACAGCTGACCAGTATGGATCCTCCTCACTGAACTTCCAGAGCTTTCCACATGTGGGGACGCTCAGTGGACACGTATGGAATGATGGCTTTGTGGCATGATGCTGTGGTCTGCCCCTGCTGCTGGGGACATGCTGGCTGCAAGAAGGGAAAGATGGATGGGGGGCACATTTCTATAGCCAGCTGGAGGTACGAGCTGGGCCTCCCTGCCCTGAGCAGGAGCTGCTAAGAGGCAGGCAGGGAAGGCGATGGTGGGCTCTGCTGCCCCAGGCTCACCCATCGCACCCCCATGAGGACAGTCAGGCCCACTCCACAGCTGCCCCAGTGGGACGCTGCCCACCAGCCAGTCCCTACTGCCCCACCCCCAGCTGGCCCAGTGACTTCTGCCTGGGGCTGGGAGCTCACTCTCAGTCCCGTGGCCCATTGCCTGAATTTCTATTCCATACCCAAATTCATGGAATGCTGTTAATGAGAAGCGAAGGCTCTCAACAGTGAAATGAGAGGCTGTGAATCTACAGCCAGGGTGACTGCAACTGCACTCGTATCAGGGAGCAGAGCAAGAAGGAAATCCATTTTCTTAAAGTGGAAAACCTGAGCTCAGGGAAGTTAAGTAACTTACCCAAGACCACACAGCACTGCCTGCCTCCTTTTCACTGACCATGGCTGCCCTGAGTTCTGCTTGGAAAAGACTCGGGGGACAGTTTTGCCACACCCTGGACCACAGAGCAAACCGCCAAGCCTCTGCCTTTGCAGACCCCACTCTGAGGAAGGAATGCCAGGTCTGCTCCAGGGGGCTGGACACAGCCTCTGGGGCAGCCACACACTGGAGCCACTGAGTCCCCCTCTCTCCTCTACAGACTCCCAGGTCGAGGTGACATCACTGCCTGCCATGTTGCCACCCTCCTCCACAGAGGGACAGCCCAAGTGACCACTGTCACACAGCTGCTTTATGCCTCCTCTCCAGCCTAATCATTTGCTTTAACTGTGGCAAAATATATGCATCACACAAAGTTTGGGCCCTTGTAACCATGGGATGCTGTGGCATCATCACCATCATGATTTCCAGAACTTTTCGATGTCCCAGACAGAAACTGCACCCATATACATGCACTGCCACCTCCCCCGCCCCCCGTGGTTCCCACAGATTCCACTTTCCCTCGTGTGAATCTGCTTATCCGGGACCTCACAGCAGCGGAGTGCTTTGTGACTTGGTTACTTCACACAGCACGGCATCTTTGAGGTAGCTCACGTCTCAGCACGTGTTAGAACTGCCTTCCCTTTTCAGGCTGTTTATTCATCCATCATCCTTTCACGGCCTTGGGCTGTTCCCACCCCTTGGTGGCTGGGAGCAATGCTGTGTGAACACGGGGGTGGGGGGGCAGGCAGCCCTCTGGGTCCCTGCCTCAGGTTCTTTTGGTTAGCCAGCCTCATTATTACTTCTGTCCACTTGAGTCTCAGAAGGTTCTGGGCTGGGCAATAACTGACAGATCGTGCAACGGTCCACACAGAGCTTCCTTCTTGGCTCCGTGGCTGAGACTCACGGGCCCTTGGCTCTGGTCCTGGCTCCAAGTGACCCTTTACAAGTCATTTCACTCCACTTGGCCTAAACTGCCTGCCTAGGAAACTGGCTACATGTTTTCTGACTGTCTCCCCACCCACCCTGCAAGCTCCTTGAACCCATGGTGTCCCCAGCTCAGCAGCAGTGTGCCCAGCTCCCATCCCTGGGACCAGCACAAAACAGCTCCTTAAGAAATAGCACCAAG